TTAATCATCAGGTTAGGCCATCAAGCTCCTAACTAGGAGTCTTGTCTCGGTGGCCTCAGCAGTGACCCAGCCTCAACTGGAGGCTGGGGCTCCCTCTGCGCACATTAATGCACATCCAGGTCAACTCTTTTGSCAGTGGGATGTGGAGCTTGAACCCCTCAGTGTGAGTAGGTAATTAGGGAGCAGCCACATTCTGTGGGAAAATCCATCAGTGCTGCCTGATGGATTAAAAGCAGGAGACACAGCTGACCCAGATGGGTGGCCTTCCTCATCACCATCCAGGTCCTGGATGGAACCCTAAACCTCATCCCTCTGGATTTTTCCGGATTAAGCAGAGTTCAACTGCAGCCCATTACAGGACAGGAACACTCTGTGCTCTCCAATGGAGGTTTTATTTTCTTCCTCTTGTGTTATTCTTTTTCTTTAAAACAAAAGCAGAGCTATGCACTTTATATATCTAGAAAGATAATATTTCTCCCCTCTCATTGACTCTCTTGGAAAAGTGGAACACATTTTGCACGTATTGCTGGTATTTCTGCTTAGTGAGAGTTGTTAGTTTTCCTCTTTCCTGCCCTCTGGCAAGTGCAATGATGACAAGACTTTCATCCTTTGGGTTGGACAGAAAATCTAATAAGACTTTTTGGCAGACACACTAGATTGAAACAGCAAGATCTTTTTGTTTCTTGGAATCATGCTCAGGTTTTATTGTCTATATAATATATAAATGCATATATCCTATCTGGGCCTACAAAGGCATTTTCTGCATTAAATAAAATATTTTTATCTCTGTTTTTACCGCCTTATTTGTTCCCCTTCTTCCCACATGTTTGATTTCCCAGTTTGTGGCAAGCAGACAAGGTGTTTGTGAATGATAAAAGCATCGGATATCAGGAGTGAGACCAGAACCTGCTTTTGTAACACAAAATTTTGTCTTTATGCAAAATCATCATTAATYTTTTTCACTTGTGTGTGAATGGGTGTGAATGTGCCAATAGGACAGATATAAGTGTTTGCAGTTTGAAAGAGCATATCAAGAAGACTTATCTATTTTTGGCTATAGTGGCTGAATTAAATAGAGTAAGATGGCTCCCCTTTTAAATGAACCAACATATTAGTATACAGAACAAGAAAGATTTTCTTGCCATAAAGTAAAATCGAATTACAAAATTGAATTAATTTTCCATTGACAGTTTAACTACAATTTCACAGTCATACTCAACACATTAGATTATTACTGTTTTTATTTTTTACTATTCATCCTGTTTACTTTGAAAAACATCTCTCATCTTGCCCAGGAAATCAGATCAATCATACTTATTTCCCACTGTGATCTGTTCAATACCTCCTGAACAAAAATTTAGGCACATGTTAAATTTGACTCATTAAAAAATGTGTCACTGACCTCATAGGAAATATTCACAGTATGTTAAATTAAGCATAAATATGTCTTTGCAAGCATAGGACCTTGGATTTTTTTCCCACCGACAGAGCACCTTTGTTTGTCATTTGCAGACTAGTGCAGATTTTAGCTCATAACTAAAAACCTCCTCTGCCTCTGCAAAACATCCAGAGAACAAATCAAAAAAGCCTCATAACTAAAAACCTCCCCTGCCTCTGCTTCCTACAGCCAACACTTCACTACTGACCTAAGTTTTGTTAAAATGCTTTTAAATTATAAAACATCATTTCTTGATCAAATTTACCCTTCAATTTTCCTATTTGAAACAGATTACTAAATTGTTTTAAGATTACCAAACTACCAAAATTGTTCTAAATAAACCTTTATACATTTTTTGTTCCTGCATTATTTTATTGCTTATTAAAATGCAAGTAGGGCGTGCAATGTGGAAAAAGTATGTATAGAAAGATCAGAAAAATAAGATTCTGAAAGAAAAAGAGGCTCAATCTCATTTGCTAGAATTTGATGGTCAATAACTAAATATTTTATCTGTTGCCTAAGGCTGTCAYTCTGTCTTGCAAATTTTATGATTCTTTTACGTGTCGCCCTTTGGACTTTTGCCTAAATAGTTTATGCTTAAGCAGACACGTCGTCTACAATCTCAGGAATAATGCCCGATAATGATGCAGTAATCATAAGTGTACTGATACTTAAAAGAATAAGTATGCTAGCATGTAATTTACTTAATTGTAATTATTTTTTTCATTCCCTAGTTTAGTTTATTTGCTGACCCTATGCTCTTATTTAAAGCACAGAAGCATGCTTCTGAATCTGGCCCTTTCCTTAGGCAGAGTTGAGGGATGAGTGTAAGGATTTCAGGATGTGAAATCTGTGCTCTGTTTGCTCTGGGTCTTCCTGACACCAGCTGGAAAGCAGGACCTCTTTTTTATGAAAACGCAAAGTCTTAGAACCTCCTCTCTCTTTCAAAGCCTTTTCATGGAAGAAAATGCATGGTAAAGTCTTTCCTTACATTAGAAAATTAATGTATGTCAAAGATCAAACAAGCAAGATATAATCTCTTGTCGCAATTACTACCAAGAGGGATTGATTCAGTTGATGCTTTCCAAATACAATTTGACATCTCATAAAAATTACAGCTAAACCAACAGAAATTAATTTCTGTTTTTCACAGGTGTCTATCAGGTTATAAACACACCTAACTTATTGGTTGTAATAAATGCATAACGGAAGGATATAGTTTAATATGAACCATAGACCTTCCGAATCACCTGTGAAAATAAACTGAAATGGAGTATTTCTCTCTGTCAGTAACAGTCCTGAAACATTTTGTGGCTTTTGAAAAATTAGATTTTTAGTGCTCTTTGACCAAAGTTTTTTTTTGCTCCGCTCATGGTCTAGATGAAAATGGTCTACTCATAGAAACATTTCTCCCAGTCCATTTAAGGCCAGGTCTACTGCATCTTTTCACTGAGCTAAATAGGGTTGGATTGGACCAAAAATTGCTTTCTTGATTTATTGGGATCCTATCTTTAGAAGCACTGGGGAAAAACTTTTTTTCTTCTTTTTTGTTTTTTTTTTCTTTTTCATCTAAATAAACAGTTATAAAATCTATTTCAACTTCTTGGTGCTGTTCAGAGATTAAAACTCTTTTCTTCTTATTTGAAAAATTTCTGATACAATTCTAAATTGTCACATAGTACAATAATGCAATAAAGGCATTTATTGCAGACAGCAGAAATTCATGTAAAGATATAATATAAATGCATACACACTGCTTATTTAAGTCACAAAGCAGCATTTACACTCTAGCACATCCACCTTTATTTGATTAATTACAGAAATGTTTTTTCTGTTTCAACAGTTTATTCAATTTTGGTACTAGAAATGTTTTATTATTACTAAAAGAATGGTATAGTTATAGTCTACAGTGTTTAAAATGCTGCCCTGTTTTACATAAAAGGCCAAAAGCTGATGCATATCAAGTATGCAGGAAATAGAGAAGTCTAACTGAGATACAAATAGTGGGTACTTTTCATCTTTATGATTTGGTATACAGTTGTCAGAAGACTATATGAGCTACTTGATTTAAAATAAAATAGACTATGTCCGACTTGTGGGTAGGAAAGCTGGACAGAAGCTGACATAACAAACACTGAAAAAGGTCAAARTTATAATGTTAAAAGAAGTTTATTATTTGAATCAGTACAGGCCACTTTCAAAGTTAAAGTTTGGAAAAATATCAGTGATTGTACTTTGGCTACAGCAACCTCTTGCCCTAGGCTGAAATATGACATTCAAAATTTCAGCACAGCACAATCCTTTTCTAATTACTAAATTAGATGTAGAATAATTCTTTATGCAACAAGATCCTATATAACTAAAATCTAAACCAAAACAAAACTCTTCTACTTAGAAGTTGCTTGTTATACTTCACATCTTTTTAATTTTTATTCTTTTTAATAGAAGAATGTCTTCTTTTTTAGGGATTTTAGGATCTTTTTTAGAATCCACACTTTCTTTCATTGAAGTGCATCCCCTTTATTAAGACTTTCAGTGCTCMTGAAGTAAAATAGTTTATTAAAGAAAGCTGATGATAAACTCTACATTTCTTATTAAGTGTTCCTGTATTTTAGGAGAAAAMTTTGCAACTTGCAGTGGCAGAATAGAGAAGATGCAGTGTGTGCAAATGGGTCACTGTAAGTAGCTTTTCAATTAAAGAAGCACACGGAAAAGATAAAATAATATCTAGGATTTGAATAATGAACTACAGGTAAAGAAAATGCAACTACCTTTCAAATCACCCATTCTATAGATGGCCGAATGAAACACAAGGAAAATGATGTCTGAATAATCTGAGTAACCAKAGGAGTAAAAGTATCTCAGAACTAATTAGTCCTCAAGCCTGGTTATGCAGTATACTGATAATACATAAATAGGCATAACATAAGGTAGTGCATGGGAAAAAGGCATAAAGCCTTTAATTAAAGACCATTAAAGACCACTTAAAGAAGGTSTTCCCTCACCTGAGATGTGTCAGAAACTATATACTAATTACAATTGATTAATACCTGTATGCAGAGTGGCTATGGTCTCCACAGTCACACTCAAAAACATAAAAGAACAGTCATAAACAAATAGAAGATATTCAAATTTTTTTTTTGTCTTAGAATGACTTGCAGTAAGGAGAAAATAGTATCTGACTCCRATTATAACACTAAATGAYTAGTATTTTTTTCCTAATATTTTTCCCTGAAATATYTATCTTAGAAATGAAATCAGTTTCAGTATCTGCCAGAAATGTTAAATAAGCTGCAAGATAGGAAAATGTAGTATTAAAATAGTAAAAAGTTTTGATTCTTTACCATTACTTTTTTTTTTTAATATAATTGGGACCAACTGGCCTCATTGCCTCTTATAAACTTAGCAATATATATTCTGAAAAAGGAATAAAAATGAACAGCTGTTTCTCTTTAAAAAAGTTAGACAAAGATTTTTCTTACGCAATAAATCAGTTGCTAGTGGATTTCCAGGACACTGCTCCAGGCTAACTGTTTAGGTATGGCTTAAAAACCTGGCTTACCTCTGTATGTATCCAAAACTGGTAAAGAAGATTAAACTGTAGATGAACAGCAAACACTGAAGGAGGGATAAAAAGGGCCATGGGCAAGTTGAATATCTGAAAAAAAAAAAAAAAAAAGAGAAAGAAAATATACATTACATTTATCATTCTAAAATTGTGATGATATAATGAAATACTATCTCAGGAGCTGAAAGCACGGCACAAGTTAATTGCGTCTTATAATGTCTCTGTATTGTAGATATTATATAAGACAGATACTGTTTATTTTACCACTAGATACTGATTATTATGTTAYGCTAGATATGTTAGAGCAAGTGGATATAAACTGCTGCAAAGGTGGCTTGCCAAAAATCATAACGTAAGTTGCATAATCAGGTAAGGAACTCAGAAATCCTGAGATTAAACTTTTATTCTGTTTATTATAGAGAATGGACATAGCTATTTCTTTGACATGAAGGGTTTACTTATGGAGGAGAATTATCATGGAGGAAGCAAGGTGTGAATTTATAGCASTATAGCTTTTCCTCTCTAACTCCCCATGTGAGCGCCAAAAGGGCAAGGCAGCTTACTCAGCTTTCAAAGTTAATTGTAAATTCTCACACTAACTTCCTCATGGCATCTCCCTCAAAGTCCTGTCCTGACTGATAGACTCATATATTCCTGGGTTCTAAATGCTAGCATGAAAATATTTTAGAAAACTGCCTCCTTAGGAAAGACACAGATATCCTACKCAGACACTAAGGTCCAAGTAATTTCACAATTAATTGTTCCAGTGGCTGAGCAATAGCTCACTTCATCAGCCTCAGCATGAGATTTCTACAACCATCCTGTGTTAAAAGTCTGACAGCTTTCTTCAGAATCACTAGCCTTATTAAAAAAACCTCCTATACCAGCTGCACTGAGAATTTAATCTTCTCCTAAAGCACAAAGATCCCTTTTAGCATTACTGGAGGTGTCTTCAAAACTTTAAGTTCCTAACTGTGCAGGGAAAATTATTGCAAGGAATAAGAAGAGCTTCCAATGAAACACATCACAGAGTTAGTAAACTCCATTTTCAAGCTCCTAGTGCCCATCTCAAAAAAACAAATTTTGGAACAGAAGACAKGTGAGAAGCAATTTGAGAGCCTTGCCAAGGCTCCTCAACCAGGCATTCCTTAAAAAACGTCTGAAGAAATATAATACTTGGTGTTTAATTCTGATATTCCCCCAGTTTTTGTCAAGAGATCCATCTAATGGGTAAGACATAGAGCTGGGGCCATGTGGGGCTATGAAGCAAGAGTCCCTCCATCACAGTGTTGTGATGCAGAAAAGTCATGCAGTGGCTTCTCAGTGTCAACAGCTRCTGGAGGACCAAGGACAGGACCTCTGCCTTCATCTGTGCTCCTGAAGGACCAAGGGCCAGCATTCCCAGCTTGGGCTGTGCTACTGGATGGCCAAGGGCCAGCAACATTGGCTTGCTCTGCTGCTTCAACACCAGGCAACTGCAGCCTGCCATGTAGAAAAGAAACCCATAAGCTTCTGCATTCACCTCATAGCACTGAGGAGAGGCATGATTTCAAAGCTACATTCACACCTTTGGAGCTACCGCAGTTCTGCATAGACTACACTTAGGCAGCTCCCGGTTGAATGACTTGGAAATTTTTCTCATCCAATAACTAAAGAGATCCAAAGGTGCCTGAAGGATTGTGCTGAGTTTTTGAACCTGGTGAAAAAATGCAATCTGCTGTTTTGTTTTAATCATTCTGATCCTCAAAGATTGAATCCTTATGTAACTTTTATGAAACAAAGAAGAAAGAAAAATCTATTTGGAAGGTGAAACTTGCACATTCAAATCCCTAAGATTAACTCTGGAGCAGAGGTGGTCATGAGCTTTCTTTCTGAGTTAAGTGCTTAAAGGAGAGGACACTGCTGTATGCAGAAGACAAGGAAACAGAAGACCTGTTTTCAAGCCCCACCAATCTCCATAGTCTGGYGCAGAAATATAGTCTCCCCTACATTTTAGAAGAAATACCCTCATCAGTGGTGTGGTRTCTGTTCCTTTTCAATCTTTCATCACAAAAGAGACTGAGATGTATTTTTTTCCCACAAATATGAAAGTTATCATTGTTTTAATCAAAGATTATTTTATTAAGAAGACCATAAAGGAATAGTGCACTCAGCCAGATTTAAGTGAATTATATCTTATTATTGATTGCACCTATCTAGTGGTGTGATAAGAAGAAATTTTTAACAGAAATGGAGATAAAGTTGATTAAAAAAAAATAAAACAGATGGTTTTCAGATTATTCATGGAAATAGTTACGGGATTTAAAGCATAGTTAAAAACGCTACTATATTTTTTCCCCAGAAGTAGTGTGGGCCACTTGGTGGTGTATACAGATGACTCAGAGGGGAAGAAAGGATCATCTTCGTATTTATTTTCTAACCTACTTCTCACAATGAGTACTACAATTTCCCTGCTAAGTGGTGAGTAAGAGGAATTTTCATGTAAATCTGCAGGTAAATTTGAGACTGACATGGGAGAATACTTTCCCAATGCTTCGTGTTCCCTTACACTCTAAGTTTTACTCTGTACAGAAAGGATTTGAAGAATCATTTACAAAAGCTGAACCCATAGGGAGAGATGAAAACCTCTCCTAAATARCAGGAACAAGACTTGGTTTCTCATACTTGTGGTTCCACTGAAAGAACAGGATCAGTATCAGAAAAAATCACTACATTGTTTTTCCCTGTTAATGCCAATTCCCCAAATCAAAACATTTCATGGGAATTTATCATTAATCTACAGAGGAAAAGCTTCTTTGGCTCCAAGATGGAATTTCTGGTCAAAATTCCAGAAAAGCATTTATCGTGTTCACAGATCTTTTCCCATTAGACGATTCAACCAAAGAGATTGAGAGCGAGCCGGGATAACAGATAAGCTGATGGRGAAGGCGCTTGTCCCAGGGGTGGAGAGGGGCTCGTCAAGGGGTTTGCCACGTTGCTGCTCCCTGCCCTTGGCGACTTTAGAACACAGCTTGGGCATGCTCTCATTTTCCTTCTTTTCTAATTAAAAGTTTCTAAACGCACCCACTCAGGTATATTTTAAAAATCATGAAAGCTCCTGCTGGCAGGAGGGCCAAGAGCTTCCTGCCCAGGTCTTGGGGGCCACCTGCTGACCTCGCTAGCTCTCTGCCAGCACAAAAGCTGCACACAACGAGGTCCAGCTGTGGAGGACTGCAGGACGATGCTTCTGGAATTGGAGGKAAGAAGAAGAAGAAGAAGAAATAATAATAATCCCCTACAGATCCTGGCAGATTCCTCTTTAGGTAAGGGGTGAACTTTGTGACTATGTGCTGTAAAAAGCAGCATTACCCAATTCCTTTTGGAAAGGCACAGATTGATGTGTAGGCATTTCTCCTGCTTTTAAATCAACAAATCATGGTTTCAACCCTTTATCTAAAAGTATATCCTAAAGCTATTAAAATATTCTGGATCTAATTTTTGGAATTCAGTCATATCTTTGGAGGAAAATTAAGAGCTGGTACTCAGAGGACTAAATGGATAGTAGTTTTTCAAGCTGTTTATGCCACTTTTTCCTTTTGCAATTATACTTGTACTGAGYATTTCATCAGAAGCAAAGATCTATGCAACATTAGCTCGCTGATTCTTTCTTAAAAATGAATAGACATTTTTTTCCACATCATTTCCTCGCAAGATGGGCTTGAAAGCCATCCTTCACTCTGACAGTGGCTCTGCTGTGTTACCACGCTGCCACGGGGATAACAGCAATGCTCTGTGTGCAAATGACATGAAATTGGCACCTGGCTCCACGATGGGGAGTGTGTCTCACGCCACTGATCGCTCTTAGAGCATGTTTTTCTCTTCTTCTTTATTCCACATCTTTTCAATCAGTCTGAGCACAACCCACACAGATTAATACTCTGATTTATTTATCTTAAGCTGTTTAACTTAAAACACATACAGAGCTGGCAGCGGAGCAGTCCCACAAGCCCACGTCATCCGCCGCAGCTCTCTCACAGCCTCCGCATCACGGGATGTCAGACTGCACTCGAGTGTGCACAGGCCGTGAGAGCAGCTCGGACACGGATTGGAAGTCACCGAGATTCAGCCCAAGGCAAACGCAGCCCTGGGCTCTGGGCTAGAAGCACTAGCGAGAATTGTGTGCTCAGGTAGCAAGGATTTGGAGAAAGCCAATTGGCACAACCCTCGGAAGTTCTGCAGGGAGGTAAACACSTACTTACATCAACCAAGTGTTTTGGTTAATAACATATATTTTGAGGGACAAAACAAAACACTGCATACAGAAGTATCATTGTTTCTTAGGTTGGTTACTCTCTACTCGAAGCAAATAAATCCTCAGCGCACATATTTTCCTTGCTGGATGATACCAGCGKGGTCCTGAGGGCCGTCTCCAGAATCCGAGGAGGCAGCTTGGCCTGGCTAAATATCTTGTGCTCTCTGAGGTATCATCCTCCAAACCACGCAGACAGACAAAGTACTCATGCACACACCCGTACACACACACAGGCTTTTTGTCTTTTGTGAATTATTGTTTTTGCAGTGCATTTGCACATATGGTCCCAATGGGTAAATGTGCAAAGGTTAAATCTCTAACATGGCAGTATTTACATAGGCAGCAGAGTTATGACAGCACATACATCCTTTCCACTATTGTTCAGTACCATCATTTAAATTTGAGGCACTCCTGCTAACACCAAATGACTATCTGCTGAATAAAAATATATAAAAACGAAATAATACAGAGAAACCTCTAACAGAAAAAGCTAGATATATAAATAGTGTCTGATTCATAATTTTCAAGAACACTTTTTTTTTTTTCTTAACTTATTGATTTAGCTCATCTCGTGTAGTATCACATGCTTGAAACTGTTATGGATAATAGGCTAGATCCATGCTCCGTTGCAAGGACATAAACACAAACTAACTGTACCAAAGTTAATAGAGTTACGCTGGATTTTCATTTGTGTGAGCCCATACTCTTGGCTTCAAATCCTTTGTGTATAGCCTAGCCATAGAGGCTGCCAGAGGACTGTGGGCTTTCTTCCATCACCAATATTATACTGAATTGGAGGAGAATATTTATCTATTTTATATATATTTTAAAATATACAAATATTGCTTTTAATATAAATGCAGAAATAAAATCAATACTACAGTAACCAGATTTTAGGGGATTCTGAGTTGAAGGAGAATAGGGAGACTGTTAACAAATGCTACAATTTCTTTGGATTTGATGTCTATTTTTTTTTTCTAACACATGGCTCTTTTCCTATTTGCCACCAAATATCTAACTCTCTTAGACAGGCAACTGAAAAGCTGTGTGATTTATGCACTATGGATGCATGGCCTGATCCAGTTCCCAAAGACTTCAGTAAAGCTGGACCAAACCCATAGGAGACATACAGCCAGGAAAATAAATAGATCTGGTCAAGAAAACTTTTAGTACATTTTCCTAGTAGAAAACAAAGCTTTGCAAAAAGTAGAAATACTTCTCCAAAGTGAAACACTGTTTTCGGGTATCTATATGAACCACGATAATATTCTTATTTCGTAGTTAAAAAAAAATTAGGGCGGTTAAATTTTCATTTCTTAATTACTATCTTCCATTGTATAAATATACACACATATAAGAATTAATTATATACATTTTTAAGTTTTTTGAATTCTTTTGACATATCCTTTTCTTTTCACTATTCTTTTAAACAAAGTGACCTAGAGTTGTCGAAATTCTGTACAATGAGAACTTTATATGATTTCTTTTTAATGTTTTTCAATAGGGATGACAAGGCAATTTGTTCCCAAATAGAATGAAGATATAAATCAGATTATGAGAACTTTATAGATGGAAGTTATACTTTCTGCTCAGAATTTATATCTTTTGGGAAACGGGCACCTTTACATGAAAATATTCAGTTATTTTATCTGAATGCATTTTTCCCAGCTAATTTGTATTTAGAGAAATATTTTCTTCTGAAAAAGGAATGCTGTTTAGAGTTATGCAAAATATTTTGTAATATTTCATCTGAAATCTCATTTTTAAAAATCTATTTTGAGGATACTATGTTTTTTAAAAATAAACTATGAAAGTAGAATCAGAAGTAGAAATTAAAAAAAAAAAAAAGAGCAAATAAAGGAAGCAAAAGTTATCCTGGGTCCAAAACCAAACACTGAATAATTATTTTTGAATTTATGAATTCCCTTTGAATAAGTATTTCTTAATATATAAATAAGTACTCCTAATTTGTATTTGCTGTGTTCACAGTTCACCTTTTATGTTAGATTTTATCTGCAAAGGCAATGAAAATTTCTGGCAAAATTCCCCTACTTACATGGGACAATAACATATGACATGAATGAGCAGCAACAAATAAATCCATTTATGAGATGTAACAAATAAACAYATTTGCATGTCCAAAGAAATCTTTACTAGGTATTTCTCTCCCTGATCCTTGCCTTTATGCACACTCACACACGTGTGTATTTGTGTGTATATAAAATATACCTTTATTGTCTGTATTAAAATTATATAATGTACAGTTATTATATATAGTTACCTTTATTCTAGAATTGTATTATACTCATTGATCTTTTTCTGTACTAACCCATGAATAAAAGGATGAAAAATAAYGTCATGCTTTTCTTGGAAAGCTATGAATATATAAAAACAGAGTTATTATGAGGCTTCTTAATTTCTTATCTGTTTTCAACTCTTTGCTACAAAAGCATTAATGAATGTATTTTTTCAAGCTTGAGAGCCTCAAAGTTTTTGCTCTCAATTGCTCTGCTGTGGTTTTTCAGTGCCACATGTCTTCTTAAATGATGTTTTACTTTGAAGGGACTCAAACAGTAATTTTTTTTTTAACAAATCATAGTAATTTTGCTTAGTTTGCCAAACCTTGTGCAACTTACCCAGGAGGTATATCTCTGCAGTAGAGACTGTCGCAAGGCTGTGAATAAGTTGTAATCTTCAGAACTGTGGTGTATTTGGTGCGCTGCCCACAGTAAATTAACCTCTGCAAAACACACAGGTTTTAAGGTGGCATGTGCAAGAGAACAAAGCAACTCTTGTTTCTCATGCCTCCCCTCTCCGCCTTTCTTTTTTTGAACTAAAGCAACTAATCCCCCAAATTACACTTTGCTGTTATACCATAGCGTAGCAGGTAATAAAACCTAATGTGCAGAGCCGAGTTTGGGTTAAACACCAGTAAGTGGCCACATGTGGGTGTGATGTCGATGCTGAGGAGGGTGAGGCTGTGGCAGGACATAAAGTAACAGCGGAAGAGCTGAAGGAGGTGGTGGATGAAGGTCAACCAGCCAGAGTTAAGCTCTGAYAACACAAGAGCCCATAGGAGCTCTGCTATGGGGCTTAGTGGGATGAGGATGGAGGATGTTTCCATGCTTGGACTCATTTTCTAAGTTATATTTTAAGACTAGAAGGAGACGCAAAGTGTGCCAGAAGTCTCATGCTTCATATTTGAACAACTTAACTGTTATCTGTTATTGTGCTTAAAGGTTTTCTGGAACGCTTAAGTCCTCAAGCCCACTTGTACCACAGACCGCAAAGAACAACCATTGCCTGCCCACTAGTGACACATGGAAAAACAAATGGCCATTTCCTGGGAACTCCAGATCCAGTCTAAAAGGGAAGCAGTTGCTCTATTTTGTTACAGGTCAAAAAAAAAAAAAAAAAAAAAAAAAAGCACACATTGCTGGAATTACGGCAAAACCGGTGTCATTCATGAGCTCTGAAGGTTTGACACCTCTGACTCGCTGCAGTGAAGAGGAACATTTCCAAATCCCAGTTGTATTTCAAGGCATTTTTTCAGTAAGTGCGAATCTCAGTGGCCTTTGTGCTGTGAATATTGATATTTGGAGAGTCTTCAGTGGGAGGTTATCAAACAGAAAAGGAAGCCAGAAATGGTCATGGTCRTCAGATGGATAGCTACAAGCTTTGAAGAAGACCTTACTTACAGCAAAATAAGAGAGTGGTTAATGCAGCCTATTTACCKTAAAAAAAAATAATTCAAGGTCACTTATTTTTCAAGGGATGAAATGTACGCCAAGCCGCAACTGATTTCAGAARTGAAAAATCCCCTGGCTGACCATGGGCTGGGCACTCCCTGTCACCACTGATCAGCTTGACCAGGGCGAGCTGGGCAGTGTAGACGACAGCGGACATTAGGATCCCATTCCCACAGTGAATCTTCTGACATATATTTAAAGTCCTGAAATTATCTAATGCCAAACTTTTGTCTCATAGTGCAGGCCTAGTGATTAGCATGTATTTGTAAAGTAAGCTGATGCCAAGAGGAAAAAAAAACAAAACAGAAAGCCTTAATGAATCTCAAGGACTTTTCACGATTTTAAAGGGCTAAAWAGTCTTTTAACAGGAGGTAATAATCTCTAGGTAATAATTAGAATAGTAACTAGGTAATAGTTAGAAACCAAGGTTTTTAAAGCTAAAAAATTTTGACAGTTTAGTAATTTATATGGCAACTTCATCTTTTCTCAGTATCCTTGCAATAGCTGAATTAAAATTGTAATATACAATATCACAAAATCCGCTTAACATTCAATCTGAGAAATCTGCCTTCTTTAAATACATTTTCTCCTGAAATCCTGAAGGAACAAGTATGCATGACACTGACAATTAGCAATTACTTAAAAAAAAAAAAAAAAAAAAAAAAAAGGCTTAATGCATCTCTGTCTAGAGTGCTCCCTAGGAGATGAATTATTCAGGTGAGCTTCAGTACTCAATAACAATTTGTATTTGAAATGTTTCCCAAGACCTCGACAGAAGCTAAATGAGTGAACAAAGCATCTGAAAAGGTGGAGGTTAAAGACCTGTCTCCTTAGTTGTTTTAAAAGCATTTACTTCCTATCACAAACTGTGTGTAACACAAGCCTTCACTCAATGAAGTACAGCTGTACAAACAGGGTACAGTAACTGGATCTTGCTTCTTTCCCTCAGTCATTTTTCAGCATTGTGAAAAGTTCAAGGAAGGGAATCTGTGATGATTTTTACAGTCTACTTTCTTTCTAGTTAAGGTCAAATGGTTTTCAAAATGAATTACTAAAAGGGCATTTTATTAGCATTCATTTTACACCACAAAGGATAAGGAATAAGGTAATTGCATATTGCTAAAATGTTAATCTTTCAGATGTGTGAGTCAGCTTAAATGATCTGTCACTCAAAAGGTGACCATAGGWATATGAGGACATAAACAAACAATTTTGCCACAAGTAATTCAACTGCTAAAGCTGTTCCTGACTGTGCTGTTATGGCTGAGTAAATTTAATCCTGTTCCTTAATCTTATTCTCGCTAACATCAGAGACAGAGTCTATGCCAAACTCCTTGAAGATAACAGACAGAGCTGATGACTGGAAGTAATTTTCCTCCTAAATGTGTATCTRAAAAAAACAGATCACCAGTAATATTTATTATAAGCAGAATGACTTCTGGACTGAACTAAGTGTGAAATAGATCATCCAAAACTCAAYCTGTAAACGTTAGCAAGATAAACAGGCTGCATTCATAAATGCATTCATAAAAGGCTTCTCAAAAATAAAAGAAACCARGCACTCATCAAGGAATATGTCTGAATGCTCACTAATAACCTGCAGCAGCAGCTGAAAAAGGTCTAGAGAAGTGTTTCAGTTTTCCTTCAAAGCGACAATAGCTTGAAGCAAAGTAGGAAAAGTACTTCGGATTAGTATACGATTATCACACGATCATCTCACATCTACTTTCTTGTATTTATAATTACAGAAGGCCTCCYTAGAAGAGAGACAGAGGCAGAGAGAGCTGACAGTTAAAAAAAATCCATTTCTCAAACAAGCTGGGTCTTGGAACCCTCCAAGGATGGAGACCTTTCTGGACAACCTGTGCCTACTTCCTTATAGCTACTGGAATGCTGCTGTTAAATCCCTCCAAAGATCTATCTTCTCCAGGCCAGTTCTTCCTGCAGCTTCTCTTTTCTCTTTTCTCTTTTCCATATATTGAAATAACACTCAACAAAGATAGATCTCCATTTTTGTTTAAAATCATTCTCATAAATATACAGATTTCTCTGAGCACAGTGACTTTAAAAATAACAGGTCTAAGAAAAATTTAYGGTGACTTCAATAACTAAGTTAAAATCAAAGTTCAGAGAACAGAAGAAAGACAAATCCATCCATCATCTGGCAATTCCTATGCACCACCAATTTTGTTTCCCTCCTCATCTATCCAGACAGCACAATTTATTCTCTTTTGGAATTACATGATGATTCTTTCAGATTTTTTATTTCTTGTTAGGTCAAAATATTTACTGACTTTTACAATTATTAATTACAATGGTAATAAAAATGTTTTAAATAATGATAATCTCCAGTAACAGCACAGAGGTCCTCTAATCATCCTCATCTATACACCATGTAAATTCTYTGAAAAGCACCTGAGCACACCAAGCAAACGAGGCTCTCATTGTGCTAGATGTTTCATTCTCCTCAGAGCTATACGAAAAGCAAAAGGAGGACAGCGAACTGGAGATGTCACCTGTATCTTCTCTTATAGCTATTTCTCCTTGATWGCAGAAGGTGAAGAAAATCACTGCAAAGTTTCCTTTCCACTTATTTTCTCATTTTTGATAGAAGATGTATGATATTACCCTTTTTTTACTTCTTTCCCTCCCCCTAATATTTAATACATAAATATGAATTATTCACCATCAGAACTACACTGGCATAACAATGAATGACTCTACTTAGCCTTAATTTTATATATATATATATCAGATTCATTTTTTGACATTAATCAAAACCCTTTGAATGAGAGCCAAAGACAGACGTAGCACCTGTGCCCTTATCTCACTACTTCTCAAGTATTTCCCTAGTGGAGGTGGGAACCGGTCCTCATTTACAAAAGATTACTCTTTAAGAATACAAGGTGCAGGAAGTTCCAGCTGAGTCTTTGTTGTTCTTCACTCCCCTAGCTTTCAGGGATTTCCACAGCCCATCACATTTTAATTAACAACAGAAGAAAATATATTTGCCAAAAAAATTGTAGTTATTTCAAGGAATGATGTCAAGGAAAACAACCGTTTTTCACAGTCTTCCAAACCAATGCAATGGTACAGATCCAATAGATTTTAGTTGGTTTAAAAGTTCAGATAGATCTTTTAGCTAAAAAGGGGTGATTTGTTTGCACACACCTGGGCTTCCATTTTTAAAAGTCAATTAAAAACAATAAAKCTTATTATTAAAAATAATAACTAAAAGTTATTAAAAAGAATAAAGCTTATTATTACCAGATAATTCAGAAATTTTCTATTATGATGAGAGCCATGTAAAGGCTTTGTTTTCTTTCAGTCAACAGTGACTATAGCTAAATGAACAGGAGAATTTTCCCTTCGGACTCTATTTTAATTAAATTAAAAGAAAAAAGTTTCAGTTGTCTATGCTTGTCATCTCTTGCAAGATTAGAAGAAAAAGGTAGTGAGTGATGAACAATACTTTATCCAGCTATAAACTTAGAATTTAGGAATACTAGGTTCAGTGACACAAAATTGCCAGGTAAAGAATGAACCTTGGGCATTCAGTGTGATTCCTGCTTTCCACAGCACAGCAAGTGTGGCCTCCTGGAGCAGGTGGAGCCACTCTGCTTCAGGCAGCATGCTCTGTACTGTGTCCACTTATAAACTCTAGAAAAGAGGTTGTCTCCTGGGTCTATCTTCCTCCAGACAGAACTCCTACGATGGCTAAGAAAATGAAGGAGGCCTGGAAGAGCAATTATTCCACTGATTCTTCTCTATGCAATTTAACCTCCCCTACCAAGGTAAAAGACAGAGGAAWATATAGTTTCATGTTTGTAGCAGATCTCGCCTTCCTTGTAATGCATTCTTGGAAATATTAAATAATTTCAGCATTCTAAAAGTAGCAGCTGTTATATACAAAACAAYAATTGCCTGATTACCTGGTGCCTTGTGCTCTAGTTCTAAGTGATCTGTACTTCTGACATTTCTAGTATTTGAA